TTAAAGTAAATATACTCTAATTTTATTGGCTAATTATAAGGTTATCAAGTTAAGTCGTTACCAAATAACGTTTGTTCATTTATTTATTTATTATTCTTTAATTTACTTACAATGTAAATAATCCTAATGTATTGATCATGTTTTATTGTAGGTAACATAATCTTCAGGCAGGAATTTCAGAAATCGTTCTTTAGCAAGTCAATGATAATCATAGTATCTTAAAAACCCCCAAGTACAGGAATAAACAAGTGGATATTGTGCGTACTTCATATATACTGGGATTCATGATCTTCGTCAATCATCTATAGCTAAATTCCAGACATCACAAACCCGAGTGCAATGTCAAGGCTTTGCATCCAGGGGTCTATGCCATAATGCTTTCGATTCGGTTCATTCCAGTTCACCTACATATTGATTCACTGAAAATCAATTTACAGATAAAATCATTTTCACTGACAATCATTTTTACCTACAGTCATTGAATCTACAAGTACTATTTCACTGACAGTCATTTCACCAACAGTTAATTTTACAATATAGCATAATGTAAATCAACCAATGAAATTAACAGAAAATTTTATTAATTTAGCGAACAAAATAAAATGAAAAATTATATATTTAAAACAATTTTTAATACTAATTAGTTGTATTTAGAAAATTATCAGTGTGATATATTGCCAGTTTATGATTATTCTCATAAAATTTAAGATTAGTATCTATTATATGTTAATCGCATAAACACTAATAGAGAGGCATAGTGATGGCGCAAAAATTTGTCGGTCCCGTGATTTCCGAGTCAATCGGCCTACTAAATCGGACCAGAAGATAAATTACAAATATTCGATACGTATACTTGTATATTAGATTAGTTCAATGCTTTTATTTAAGCTTTTCTTAATAAAGTGTTAAGCAAGATCACTCAAGTTATAAAAAATAATAAAAATAATAAAACTTTATCAAATTTAGTTAGATAATTGCTAAGAAAAATTCATTCAAAGTTTGAGATTTATTCTAAACTAATCTAATTTTTTTTAAGAGAAGTTTCTTGACAACCACTTAACCGAATTCGATGAAAATATATTATTTTAATTCCTGCAGAATGTAAAAAAATCATCGAATTTAGTCAACGGTTGTCAAGAAAAATTTGCTCAAAGCTTGATTTATTTCGCCTATAAACAAAACATTCTAAATTTTTGAGAGTTTTTCCGACTTAACTAAATTCATTGAGTTTTTTATTTTATTTTAATTCTATATATCTGCAGAATTAAATACAAAATATATTCATCAAGTTCGGTTAGGTGGTTAGTAATAATAATATCTTGGGTATTAGCGGAAACGAAGTTTCACATAAGGATCTGATTAATGCCCCGTGATCTTGATATAGTGATCGGGCGACAACCGCCTGATGAATTTTTCGGTTAAGTGGTTGTCAAGAAAACATATAGGCGCGGCTTTGATTTATTATTTTTAAGTATATTACTTCATATCGCCGGCGATAAATATTAATACTCCCATTGAATTTGGTTAGGTGCATGTCGATATGTGGTGTATGCATGTGGGCTCATTAATCCCATTTTAGCGAACCCCTCAAAAAAAAGTACGTGCAAGGAGTATCAAAAAAGTATGTCGAGTAACAGTTTTTTCTTTCGGGTCCATAAGCACGTGAGTGTTGTGTAAATAATTTTCGCCTATTGGTATATAAAGATATCTCTCAGTTTTGCTGATATATCAAAAATTTTGAATTATACATTCGAAATGAGTAAGGCAATCTTTCCCGGACGCAGGTAAGCTTTTTATTAAGAAAATATAAACGTTTAATTAAACCTGATCTTGTTCAAACAATTTCGTATCTAGGTATCCAACCTCAGGTTCTAAAGCTTCACCCAAAACTCAGTGCCAAAAATGTCTTGAATACGGTCATTGGGTAAAAAAAAAAAATAAAATAAAAACAAAAGTAAATATTTATTAACTTTTTTCATAACGTTTACAAAGCTTTGCCTTAATTATATAGACCTATGAATGTAAGAACGAACGAGTGTACAGATCTCGCCCAACTAGAACTCAACAACTTACAAAACCACTAAAACCAATATCTGCAGAACTTCCGGACGAATTAGGGATAAAGTAAGCGTAAAAACTTTATTAAGTAAGCAGCAATATTTATGCGTATGTTTTTAATACGCGCATCGTTTTATTTAACAGGAAAGATGCGACAGAAAAATTGGAAAAACCAGTAAATGCAAAAGAAAGTAAAAGGAAAAAACGTCGAAAAACAGAGTAATATGAATTTGAATTTATTTAATATTATAAGTGCATTCACTAATCCTGTCAAATCAATTAGATTATAACAGAGGTTCCTTCTGAGTTGATTTCTTTTCTCAGGATTTGTGAATGCACGTATTAGTATTTAATTTTAAATTTCTCATCTAATCATTTCGAGTCATTGTATTTATCCCAATTGATAATCAAGATCTACGTCATCTTCAGAGTCTTCATCATCCGATTCTTCAAGCGAAAGCGGAGGTAGTTCTTCAACTGAGTCATCAAGTCGTAGTTCAGACTCAGGTAGCGATAGTGGGTCAAGTTCAACGAATTCTTCAAAATCATCGGGTTCGTTATCACGAAGTAATTATGGGAGTTCAGATTCTTCAGTGACCTCTTACAACAGGAAAAGGAAACGTAGGGGTCACTAAGTTTTTTTAATTGAACAAAAATGCTTAATATTAAAAAAGAATTCATTGGCAAGTGAAATGAAGAATCGACAATAGGTATGAATGATATAGTCATAAAATTTATCATCATAAAATATAATTATATAATATATCTTTCATAAATTCAAATTGTTTATTTCGGTATACTTTGAAATGTAATCTTCAATTATAAGTAAGTAACTTTTGAAATAAAAGATACAAATCCGGTAATAATTACAAACAAATACTTTTTAGATTTACCTTGATCAATTATCTAACTGTTAACCTTTTATGCCAATATATATCTACTTAGAGAATGATTTATTCGTCAATGGTACAACAAATACTGTATTAATTGTTTTTTTTTTTCATGCGAGATGGGTCTTTCTTAGAAACATGACACCATGTAAAAATTTTATACACACAGGACAGCACTTTAAAAATAGTGATAAATTAGAAATAGTAAAAAGGAATTTCGATCACATTATTTTTAATACAAAGATAGTACCTAGTTGTAGGAAAAAAAAGCAAAATACTAATTGGTTATTTTGTAATACTTTAATGTAACATCCAATCATTTAGTAAAAAGTATGCCGAGCCTCTCACTAAGCTCCGGTCAATTATATAATAGATATTTAATTTTTTATTTCTATAATTATTCTAAAAATATTCGAAAATTTCGGCATTGGTATTATGTGTGATTCTTTTATTAATTCCATTAAGTAATAATATATATATGGTTTGATCGCATTGTTTTGCGTATAAGTATTTTTACCATCCAAAAGCAGATCTATAAATTAACCTTGAATCAAGTGTTAGGACTCTAAATTAAGAGAAACTCCAAATCGATGATTATTTTCGCCCAACTTGGATGTGTCAATGCTACCACCAAGAGAGATTTTAACACCTGGACGAAGTGCTTGTGTGTATCCAAGACCCAAACGACCATTGTTATCAATTTTAGCCTGTAATTTGAATTCATTATTCAGAATAAAATTTTCAATAAATGAATTAGAAGTATTAAACAATAAAATAATGAATCATTCACGTACTTTTAAAAATGCATCACGATCTAAAAAATATTTAGCACCAATTTCCATATTAACACTGTCATTATTTGAACTAGTATCCCAATGAGCTTTTGCACCAGCTTCAATATCAGGATGTACACGATGGTAGTATAAAAGGGTATAAGCAGACATGGAGTTGGTTGCTTTAAGAGTAACGTTATATTCAGGAGCCGTATAACCAGCGGAAACACCGTAACGAGTAACTTTACCATCCGTAACATCATAACACGCCTCACCACCCATAAGGAATCCCTCGTGACCAATTACAACATCCCCCTGAAAAGAAGGTCCTTTAAGAACATCGACATAAAGCTTTGTATGGAAACCAGGCTGTTTGAAAATTAAGCCTCCTTTGACGTTCTTATTTCCATGAAGAGGTTGGAGATGTGCAGTCATGTCCAACTTTAAACCTTTTGCAAGACTATTATCTAGTTCTACTTGGGCACTTAAGTGGTTATGTGTTGTCCAAGTTTCGGTGAGTGTAATACCTTTCTTAGGATAATGATATTTGCTCTTAAATTCTCCATGTATGTTACCACTTTTCGAGTCTTTATGACCAGAGAGGGTAAAAGACTAAAAAAAAAAAAATAATAATAAATAAATTAAAAATAAATTTAAAAAAATATGGGATCTATAATAAGTCCGACGGGATTTGTCATTTTTATTGAACTATTGAACTTACTACACCATTAGGAGCAGCATTTTTAGCTTCAAGTTTGAAAATACCAACGGGATAGTCTTTGCCTAACAGATCACTGGCAGATTTGCCAATGTCTGAATAACAGGCAGGAACGGGGGCTGACATCTTACTATTTTTAAATAGTAAAACTTAAATGATGTTTCAAAAAGCAAATATTTCTAACTTAATTTGAAGAAAATACTTACGAAAATGGTAAAACTAAATGGTCAAGTTTATGGATCTCTTCAAAAAACTAAGGTGTTAACGTTAAATAAGATTGATTATCATATAAAAAATTTTTTTATCGATAATGCATGATCATTTAGTTTCGTGTTACATTAGCTAAAGTAACACAAAAACTTCGAGCTATTTTATAAAAATGCGCTCAAAATTTTTTTTGGTAGCTTAATGGAGTACCAACTTATTCCTCGGAATAGTGAAATTTCTAATTCAGATGATGTCTCTCTCACTGTAACACCTTCTATAAGTCGTTCAGAACGAAAAACTATTCCATGGTATTTAGATGGATGTTTAATGAGCAAAGTACTGTATAAAAATTATAAACTATATAATTTTCTTGTTTTCTATAAATCTAAGTTAATAATTTGGTTTATAGGCTATAATTTTCGTGGTTATATTAACGTGGATTATATTGGTTATTTGGCAAGTGTTACTTACGGTTAGGGAAGTAGGAGTGTGTAAGTGTAATTTTTTAAGTTTATATGGGGCCTTTGCCTTAGTAAATCATGTGATAAAAACTTGTTTTTCAAGACAGACCCCATATCGATATATCTTTGCTGTATATATGTTTGAATTTTGCAAGTTTTTATTTAGTTTTATCGTTATATAATTTTCAGAAATTCTATATATAGTTCAGTCACTTAATACAATCAAAACTTCTGTGCATTTTTCTCATCAGATATACGTATGGTATATATTATTTTAGAAATAAGACCGATTTTAATAATTTTAATTAGTAATTTTAATTTAAAAAATAAAGACAATTATTGATTGTTTTAGTTTACGTAACTAGTAAATATACCAGATACGGTAGTACGTACTTACGGTACATTAATCTATTATTGGTTAATAAAAAATCGCATTTGCATAATAAATAACGATAAAAAAATTATTAGCGTGCGTACCTGTACCATTTTCAAGAACTTTTTTCTCTATATTCGATATCAAATAATTATGAAAACAATAACGCCATACGACGATATTCCACTCATTATAGCTTATATTCTTGTTATACTTAACTTCGCTTTTGATAAATGTTTACGTCCTAATGCTTACACTAGGAGGTTCGACATAGAGGATACAGATAAAAAACTCTTCATTGTTTATTGTTATCGCTTTTGCTGTTGTGTTTAGTGCTCCCTTACTTATATTGTCAACAAATATCATTGGTTTAAATGATATTATTGAAATTGGTATAATTGAATCACCTTATCGCGAAATATTATCATGGAGTGCAATTATAATTATTTTATTTGGAATTGGTTTAAGAGCCTATGCGATGAGAATTAATCAATTTTTTACGCGAACTTTAAGAATCGGTGAAGGACAATTTATTGTAACTGAAGGTTTGTTTAATAATAAATACTATAATGATTAATAATTATTCAAAATTATTTTAATTCTTAAAGAATTTAACAAATAGGTCCCTATAAGTATATACGTCATCCGGGTTATTCAGGTTATTTATTAATATGGAATGGCTTTGGCCTGTCTTCCGGAAATTGGATCATCTTTATATTTATTTCTATTATCATTAGTATCTGTTATTGGTATCGTATACGATGTGAAGAACTTATGTTATTAAGAAATTTTGGAGTCGATTATTTAGAATATTCTACTCGAGTAAAAAAGATAATTCCGTTCATTTATTAAACTTAATTGTAAATGTCATTTATTTCATATATCAAAAGAGGATTAGAGTGGAAGCGTAATATTCAATTTCCTTAACTGTTAATTTGATACATCATTCATTCGTAGCTTTAGATAATTTATTATAACGATAATATTGTACAGCTTGTTACACGACTAACTTATTAAATTAAATATTATTAGCTACGTAATCATTTACAATATGAATAAAATTTTATTATTAACATAATAAATTATAATACTGTACTATAATTTAAAAAATAGATGTAGCTTTTAAATAAATGTGATATAGATTATGATCCAAATAATTCGATTATTCGATCAATCTACTTAAAGTAAATATACTCTAATTTTATTGGCTAATTATAAGGTTATCAAGTTAAGTCGTTACCAAATAACGTTTGTTC